CGCGCGCGCGCGTGGTTTTTTTTCGCCTCCGTTTTGCGGTTGCGCGGCCCGGGTGACCGAACTCGGCGGGCCACCGTGTCCGTGCGCGCACGCGCTCGCCGGTCGAGACCGACGTGCGTACCGATAACGATTAACGCGATTCGAACCCGACGATCGTTGCAAACGACTCGAAGAAATATCGGTAAAATCCGCTACAACCGATGAATGTATGATTGCACCGCGCCCAGGGTACGTATTATCGTCATTTGTGTGAAATTCGTCGGTAAAGGGTGTATTTTCCGTTTCGTGTTCCTTGTCCGTACGTTATTATTGCACGAAACACGGTTAAGTTCGTTTGTTCGACATTCATCAAATGTTTTTCGCGGTATACATTACGTTTATTACGTACAGGGCCGTCTCAAGGTTTTTCGGGACCGGGGGCTGATTAATTTTGTGGCCCTTCTACCATAATAATTAGATATGATCCCCAAAAAACTCTCTGAGAATAACAAAATTCTCGCAAACGTAATTTTCCAAACCTTAACCGATCAAGCTCGTTTAAATTCATGTACCGCAATTACATACTTTTACGTAATAGGATTTAATATTATTCGTATTGTTTATAATGTAATCGGACATGATCTCGACTTTAATCGTCGACACGCAGCGTGTAAAATTGCTCAGTGTAATCGAAGCTTTTTTATTAATTATTATACATCGAGACTTTATGGGGGCCTCCTAAAAAATATTCCAATAATAGGCCCTGGGGCAAAATGGTTCCATTCCCTCCCCCTCTGAACGGCCCTGATTACGTAAAGATATAAATAATATTATAATACGATTCGATTGATATTGTAATATTATTATACGATTTTGCTTGCTATGATTAAAAATAAAACTCCTACTTTTAAAAAATTTATCATTGTAAAGCATTGATACGGATAATTTATTGGAAATATTAATTAAGGTTCAAGTTTTTTCCACTAATTTCATGACTTCGCCAATATTTCAAATGAAAATAATCATTTTTTCAGGGTGTTAATAAGAATGAGTTAAATACCTGAACGCGTATTGTTATGTATCCAAAATAGGTTCGATTGCGTACAATTGCGTAACCATTGTTTATTATACTAATATGACTCTTAACAAACCCGTATTTAGAGAGGAGACACGGGTAGGTACATGCCTGGGGGCGTCAAGTCTCAGAGGTGGAAAAATATTTTAGCAAAATTAATTTTAAAAATTATATACCTACTAAATGAAAAAAAAAATAAAACAATAAAAAAAAGAAATTAGTATGTTTTATTATGTTATAATTTGTTTAATTTGTTAATTAAAAAAAGTATTAAGCGATTTTAATTTATTAGTTATATTTTTTATTAATAAGTCATAAGTTACTTCATTTATAAGCTTTATTTTAATATTAAGGAATCTCGATTATGGGTGGATTAATAAGTGTTATATTATTATTTATTTTTTTGTTGGGGGGGGGGGCATAAATCATATGCCTGGGGACGCCAAATTTTTAAAAACGGGCCTGACTCTTAAGGTTACCTATATATTATTAAAATTACCTAAGTATAAGAGTTTGTTACCATATATGGTATTATAATAGTACTATTATGATAGTACATTATATTAATGATGTATTTGTAAGTTTCGAATCAATTAAATATTGAACAAAAACATTAATTCTAGAAAATAATGAATAATAAATAATAATAATAATACATAACTTACTGGAATTATTTTTCCATTCATTTTTTAGGATGAAAATTTGGCTTGCTTATGAATTTGACATAAAATTATTTTGTATTTTCTACGATATGGTTTCAAATAATATTACATGAAATTGTGTTTCTATCAAATATAATACCATATTACTCATGAATTAAATACCTCCAGTGGCATATTTATAGCCCTTAGTGGAAAATGATAGAGATATTTGTGTCCTTTTGCTTTATTTTCTTAAACATATATTATGCACTGTATAATCAGTGATGTATATTTCTAGATCATTTTATCTAGATAAAAACATTTATCTTTTTGTCTTATCGAGATAAAAATAATTTGAAGTATTTTATTCATCTTTTTAAATAAAATGACCATCCGAGATAAATTATCTAGATTCTTCTTCTTGTCGTATCGGTCTTCATGTTCCCTTCCCTTGCCAATAAGCCGAAATTTATATTGCCTTGAAAGTATAAATTATACTACTACGCGATACTATAGTATGTATTATGTATACTTCTGTCAAATTAAATAGATGTGTAAATCATAATCATACATCATATCATCATAATCATAATTCAAAATATGTACCTACATTTTTTATTAATAATTATTTAAATAATAATACCTATGTTGATTCATTTTTTTTTCTATTATTTTGAATTTTAATACTGAGGTTTTTAAATTAATAAATAATTTATAATATAAAATAAAAAGAAATAACAATAGTTTATTTATACTATTTTATATAATATTTATATATCTACTTTATTTAAAGAGTAGAACAATTTAACTCGATTATATTGTTAAGGTGCGTCGGAGAGTTTAGTGATCCTATGATAATAGTTACGGGTAGTTTATATTTGCTTATGTTTGAATCAGTATCAATATATTCATTCATAGAAATTGCGATTAAGAGATTAAAGCCCAATTCATACTCGCACGATACAACCTGACAAAATAGTCTATCAACAAAATTGAATTTTGTTTGAAATTGTGACAATTTGAATTGTCACACCGATTTGGCAAGTTCCACAACGATAGTATACACTAAAAAACATTAAAATAAAGATTATTTTGTCAGTTTGTTGGTGCCAGTCGGAATTAATTTATTTAAAATATATATATTATTATGTACTCATGTGCTTAAATTCATTTATAAATTGCATTTGCAAACGAAAATGTTTGCACTGATTACAACGAGACTAATTATTATAGACATAATACATATATAAAGTATTTATACTATAGGAAAATAATTCTATCATGGCTAAATCTTTAAATTTAAAATTTTTTAGCATGTTGAGAATTAACAATTTCGTCAGAAACGAAAATTGAAATCAACTGAGTGTGTTTCGGTCGTATTTAAATTGGACGTAATATTCGTCTGTTGTTCCGTATCGTGTCGTATGAGTGTGAATCGAGTTTAATTATATTTTATTTTTATGTATATGATATAGTGAATTTCCACATGCAACTCTTAAAATTCGAAATTTGTTAGTGTATTGCAACTGTGCAGTGTAAATAAGAACGACTCTATACAGGTACTGCAGATAAATATATTAAAAATGTACTTAATGAATTTAAAGCGATCGCACGTTGATTGTAAAATTAAAATCAATGAATGAACTGCAGTTATTCTTTCAACTGCCATATGAAGAATTACGGTGTTTTCAAGTGACGGGTATATCAATGATATTTTTTAAAAAAAACAAAAGTGTTCTCTCATATAAAGTGTAATTTTGATTTATCGCAACGATTACAAACGTACAATTATTACGTACAATGCACTATTGTTGCAATTATCAACATAATATAAACTACTTATTATTTTTGCTGTTAACATATACGAGAACAATAACAGTCATCGATAAGTTATGGAACTGTTACTTTCTGCGACATTGTCGACGCATTAATCGCACTGTAACATGATATTTCTCATATTTCTGTATTTCATACATATATGTATGTAGGTACCTATTGTATGTATATCCCAGTGTTTCTTAACTATGTAAATTATTACCATTTCGCAATTTATAATATAATATGTTTTTCAGCATTATATATGATTTTTTAAAATTACTTAAATCTTGTTTTAAATGTTTCGAACAATACGTTTAATCGTGTAGCTTCTTATTAATCTAAATTCTATTCAATTATTGTGAAACGTAAAATGCATGAAAGTGTGACATAAAAAATTTAAATTTTGTTTACTCATATAAAAATACTTTGAAAACGGCATTCAATGTGACACTACCATATACCTACGAATATAATCGTAACTATCGAGGGTAAAGTTAAAAGAGAAATGGAAAACATTCTGCACCAATAATATAAAAATATGCTTAAATCACAATTTACCCGTGTACATGCAGAGTGTTCACATAATAACGTATAAAATATATACATATTTGTGCGTGTGTATGTGTTAAAGACAACGGAAGTCGTTTGGATGGATTAACTTCTTCCTGCGTGAAGTCATCCTCGGCTCAAGGGACTTTCTTTTGTCGGCGTTTTGCGTTAATCGCACGGATTACCGTACGGACGTGACGTTTTCTTCAGGCGGCAAAATGCTTTTGACAAAAACGAATAATATTAATAATAGTAATTATAGTACGAGTATATAACTATTAATGTGCGTGCGTATTTAGTTAGGCAAATTTTAAATACGTCGCGCGCACATGTTTTGCTAATGCACACCACACGTATGCGTACTCGTATATATACGTCTATTAATGTTCACGATGATAACATTATAACCGTTTATTGATCTCTATATGATCGCGATAATCTTCTAGAGCTCCGTGGTGCCTACTAAATTATACAGACTAAGGACAACATATTTATTATTACTTAACAGTAACCATGATTGTTTTAATATGTAAATTATTGTCGCCTTTTCAGATCATTAAATCGATTTATACTCCAATTAAAATACTTATAAAACTGAATGACTATCAAAACGATCATAATTGTATATCGATCTACTTTTTACAGTATAATTATATACTTATAAATACTTTAATATATATTAAATCACGGTTAGGTTAAGAACGTTAGAAAACGTATTTTTTAAATCGCTCAAAGTTTTATTTTATTCGAATATATAGTGTACTTCTATATTATATTCCATCCCCTTTACTCGCAATATCTTAAAATTCGTATATTTTTATTATCCTAACCATAT